CACCCAGATGGAAAGTCAATCAGTATCTAAAGACAATGCCATGTATCTACTAGGATTGAAAGGGCATTATGTATTACAAGATCCTTCTACCCGGACAAGTATTGTTCCTAACTGAACCAATTAAAAGGGCAACAATTGATGCAAAGTGTCCAGAATTAGCCAATTGGAAGGCAATATCTTCCATCAAGACAACACTAGACCTCACTTCTATTTGCAGACCTGGAAAATTGGCATAGCTTGTCTGGGATATCCTGCTATACCTGCCATACTCACCTGACCTTGCATCTCTTCTGATTACCATTTATTTCCATGGAGAATGTTCAGATGAACTACACTCTTTAGTTCCTCCAGTCCTAACCTTCACAGCTAAGACCAGTCACGCCATGTACATTATAGTGAACCACCTTCATTTAACTTGTACTATCCTGGTGAGATATAAGTTCCACTCAAGCAGCTTTTCCCCATGAACCACTACCTTGTGAAACTGACTCCCAAGAGGTTGCTTCACCAATCACTACAGTATTAACCTGTTCAAGTCTAGAGTTAACTTATCTTCCCCACATATCCACATAAACTGTGGCTCTTACTCTGTAACCCTCTACCTTGAATGGCTCTAGGGCCTTGTACAAGCTGAATACCACAATAAAACAAAAAAAAAAAACTTTGAACTTAATGGTGGTGGTGGTGGTAACTTTGTGGGTGGGTGTAAAAACCACTTAGACCAGTTCATCACCCAGAAAGATGCCAAGTCCTGAGAGGATGGAATCATGAAGCTGCCAAGAAAATGGCAAAAACTAGTGAAACAAAATGTACACATGTAGTTGAATAAATCTTTGTACAAATATCTAAATAGTCTCTGAAATTTACTTTAAAAAGCTAAACTTTTACACCAACCCAATACATTTAAGATATACAGCATGCAGCAGAAATACCTCCCATATAATGGTAAGACATAGTGGTAATGGTGTCTTCACCTAGCTAATGTCTTACCACACTTTGCATCAGCACGAACTAAATGAAATATAGTTACTTGCTCTTATCATATATGTATAAAGGTTTTACTTAAAAGGAAACAAAATATAGTTCAATAACTATATCAGTGATCTTTTACTAGACTATTTTCATATGGCTAATACACATTTAACAGGATAGGGCTTGTTAGTATATAGTGATTAGTAAGTCAGTTTATTTTAAGAGCAGACATTATCAGCCCTCAACTTTTCTGATCTAAAGTCATTATTGGTAGTACAATAATATTTCCTTTTTCAATTCAAATATAGTGAACAATAACAGGATTTTTTTCAGATCAAACTATTATTAAATAGAGACAAAGAATAAAACTCAAAGAATATTGTACTTAAATTTGTAAGTGTTCATTAATACCACTTATTCATAATGCAACTGAACTGTGTTAAAATAATTTCATATAGGTTGAGGGAAGGGGAGAACAAGTAGCAGAGAGAGAGAGTGAGAGCAAGAGAAACTCTTCATTCTTTCAGACATTAACCTTGGGTTTAAAACTCTCAATCCTGACATCAAAACTAACCAAACAATAAAAAATCACATTACATTCCTATCATAATTCTAAAAAAGAAGAATCTTAAAATAATTTTGCCATCACAGTAGTTATTTTCAAGGCTTATTTTAGCCAAGAATTTATCACAAAAGGATATAGTGGCCATTATCACATACTATTATCAAATAAATATTATAAATAGACTACACTGCTAAATATCTTTCAAACCAAGTAAGATAAGCTGTATTCAAAAATAAAAGTATAGCAGTTCTTAAAGTTTTCATGAATAAAGCCAACAAGTGGGCCTATACTTAAGAATTCCATCAAATTGACTTAGCTATCAGATGGCAATAAGTATTCCTTGTCAAAAATATACAACATTTCGAATGTATATTTTTTAGTTATCGAGATAATTAGTTAAAATTGGGCAAAATTCACTTGTTTTAAAAAGAAACAATTACTTGGCCCAACTCAGTAGTCATTTGTTACTCATGAACAGAAATTTGAGCTATATAAACAGAGAATATACAAAAACAAAAAATACCAAACCAAGAACATTTTATTAGTATTTAACAGCTTTTCAAGAAAATTCAGTGGTGCTTTCTAATTGAGCCATATGCAGAGATAAACCAGAATTAATAAAACAAACAAACGTATAGCAAATTTCAAGCTAGATTTTAGAACTAGCTATTTTCTTTACTTGAACAAAATAGTTTCCATCTATAAGTTTACCTCAGTCAACTAGAGTGAGGAAAGCCAACAATGACAGTTCAGTGAAGTAAGTGTGATCAGCAGATAGTTATGATAAGTAATTCAATTGTAAACATACGGCTCAGTACATTTTTATTCATTTCTCTGGGCCAAATATTTAAATTAATTCTTTCATCCATTGAAACAAAATAAAAAACAATCATCACATAATAATAAAACAAGAACAACTCTTAAAATAACAAAAAGTGACCTAAGAGAAGAGTTTCTTTAAAAAGTTATTTTTTTATTTCTTAATTAAATACTTAATTCATCAGGTAATAAACATTTTCTTCCTTTTCTTTTATTAAAGATCAAAATTTTTAAAAAGTGATCTCAAATTTACGTTTTTTGCTCAGTAAATCTCCAATTGAAAAGAAGGAGTCCACAAGGACCAAACCAAGAGACAAACACAAAGCTTAGGTGCGCCCACTAAATAAATAAAAACATGACTCTGATACCATCGATTTCAGAAGTTAATCCTTAAAAAAAAAACAAAAAAAAACACACACACACACACACACACAAAAGAACGTCACTTTTGAATTTGAATCAGATGTTAAAATAAATTAACATTTGTGTTGAATTTGATTCAAGTAGAATAGACCAATCAGTTTTTTTAAGTTTTAGAACTTAGGCCTCACCCCTTTACGTAAAACTAGTAGCGAGTAGATGCTAAAACAATATGCCATTGATTGCTAAAGAAGGAATACGACTCAATCGTATTTTTACCAATTCTTGAAACCTGATGAAATTATAACTTTTAGTTTTGTGTTATTGTTCCCAGATTGCGTTTTGAGGACAATATGAGTCTTTTTAGAAAATAACTTTTACAAATTTAAAGCGAACTAGGTATCGTCAAGTTTAGCGTCCGAAACATTTTTCGCGTATAAAATACGGAATTAACCTTAAATTGCTTTACCTATCCTCATATTCTGAGCATGGCCAGACATTTTTTAAAGTAAACCTGTCATTTTTTTTACCTTACAAAGATTATGAAGTAATAAATTAAACGACTTATTGCATTTTGGACACTATTTTTATTTAGAATTTAAGAAGAGGCTGATCCAACCATATTTATTTTATTTTTAATTCTACAAAAACAAGTCACATTGGTCAGAAATGTAATTTTATTTATTTTTTATGGGAAAAATGTGCTCAGAATATGAGGTTATGTAAAAGCAATCTAAGGGAGATTATTCAACGGTATGCGAAAACTGTTTCGGACGCTAAACTAGACGATATCTAATAAACTTTGGATGCTGACTTAAAAATTACGAAACCCGAAACCAGTATCCAATATTTCTTAGAGCACAAAAGAAAATAATATTGTGCAGATCACCTGATGCGATGATTAAAAATGTATCAACAAATAGAAAGAACGAAGTTTTGACATAATGTTTGATTTCAAAAGAAATGAAGAAAACAAAAAATAAATAAATAAAACTCAAGATATACAATTGAATATAATTAGCAACGATGAACGAAAAAAGAAACTTAAATATCATTACCTTTGTTTTTAAAAAATTCGGTAATGTTTATTTCGACATATGTTAGTGTTGAATTTGGTTTGTTTATTCTTCCTTTCATTTCTTCTGAAATGAAGTGGGCGAATAATTTCGAAAAGGGGAGAATAAGAACACATAATTACACTTAAACGAAAATTAGAAACCGATTTCTTAAAAAAAAATAATTAAAAATGACAGTGTGACTTACTCGTCAATCAAATATTCATTTCAAAATTATCTTTAAAAGTTTATCTTTTAAATTAAAACTTGATTAAAATGAAAATATTTTCGATATTAAAACCTTGTTTTAAAAAAGCGTCTCTATCATTTTTGCTTTTAATACCCAAAACTTGAAATTCAATGTTTTTAAACTTTTTCTAACAGAAAAAAGTCATTTGTTTCAATCTAAGACAAACAACAGAATTTCTGTAAATGCTCGAGTTCTATTAAAAACTTTTATTTTTTACTTTGTAATTATAATTAAAAGTTAACAATACGTGAATAAATGTTCCTTACTTGATAAATAATTTACAATAATCATTTGGTATATACCAAATGATAATTGTAAATTATTAGGAAATAGATTAAATTAAGAAAATATGACAACAAAGTTAAGTTTTTAAATTTAATACAAAACAAAGAATACACAGATTTTACTTTAGTGAGTGATTTTTAAGCCCTAAAATAAAAATGATTTAGAAACAAGAAGCAAGCCAAATCCTAAAATATAAGCTATTACCGCTAAGAAGTAATTTTTAAATACAGATTCAGTCAGCCACAAGATGATAACCAGCAGCAAAATAATGATCTATTTTGTAAATCTTTTATTTATTGCACAAGAGACAAGTAAAGAATTTATCAACAATTTTTACAAGATTTGAATACAGGTCCTTAAAAATAAAAGTAGCTTTTCCGAGGACAGGTCACATTCATATATAACAAATAAGATGAAGATCTAAAATTAAACTTACAAATAAAAATTAAAAACACATACATCAAAAAGACACTAACAATATACAAGGAATTGAACAAGGAATGAGAAATCAATTATTTTGCATTGATATGAACAGACTACATATAGTTTTCCCCTGCTCATTTATCTAATTGCGCCCACTCTCAAATAAATCCGGCTGGAAAGCAAAACAAATAACTGAATCTGTATCTTTATTCAACAGAGTTCAATAAAGATTTTCAGTTTGTTATAAACTAAAAGGAATAAAGCTACTTACTTGAAAATGAATCAACTTCTCAGTCTGTTCAGGGGATAAGTCCACATCGTCGTCCGCCATGTTTGCAGGCTAGAAACATGCAACTTCCGGCAGTGGCAGCTAGCGCCACCAAGTGACAGGTACACACATCAAGCAAATACATACCAACAAAGGAAATAAATGCAACACGTGTTTTAAGTTTTTAGCTTTAAGTTTAAAAGTAAGCAGACTTTTTAGTTTGTGGAGTATTTTCTAACAAAATAAAACCAGCTTTCTTTCAACTGGTATCACTATTTGTTTGTCATATTTATTTAAATGACAAGTAATGACGTTATGAAGGTTATTTTTTTCTCTTAAAACTGAATTTCGAATGTATGATCCATAAAAAATAAAATAAAAAACTTTGTTTATGTGTCAGTCTATAAGACAAGAAACTTTATAAAAAAAACTAAAAAAAGGTCATTTTTTCATTAGCTTTCACGAAATTAATTAACAGTTTATTACTTTTTAAAAATAAGAACATTTTTTTTATTATCTATTAAGTTGAAAATTGCTATGTACTGAAATAAAAAATAGAAGCTAAAAACATAAAAGATTAGCTTCAGATGCTTTTAATTGAAAAGATTTATCATTTATTTAAGAAATGAATAGGTCACTTTGCTAGTACTTTAGGTTTTCCAAAATAGACACTGCCTTTTGTTTTGATCATTACCAGAGAAAGAGATTGCATTGCTGAATTAATAAATCCATGTTCATATATATTTCTTACTATTGATTTTTGAAAGACTTTCCACATTAAACCTCAACCTTATATCACATTTTGTAACAATGTGGATGTGAGGATAAATACCTACTTTGGATTCTGTCCCCTTTCTATTTTATTTCGCAGTGATAGAAAAATAAAAAGTTCACTATTTCAAAAATAAAAAATTGAAAACTAAATGTTAGCAAACCAAAAGGGTTTGCCATAAAGAAATAAAAACAAAAAGATAAAAAAAAATAAATAAAAGAGGCCAAAAGGTCATCATTCCTAAATGTAGATGAAGAAAAGGGATGTGTTGGAATTTAATTTGAGAACAACAATTTCACAAGTTCACATTCTCACTATTTTTTCTATCCTCACTTCAACCTCTTTTTAATTTCAAAACCGGCTCCCAAGGCCTTGATTCTTATCAGAGATAAGAATATATTTTCTGACTAAGGAGTGACCTGGAAAATAAAAAGGAATTCCACCACCATTATTCTTTCCATGGAGCCATAAAGTCTGAGAGAAACCTCACAGCTTCTTCACTTCAACCTGTTTTCAGTACCTTCGAAACCGGCTCCCAGGGCCCTGATTCTTATCAGAGATAAGAATGTGTTTTTTGACCAATAGAGTGGCCAGGAAATTTGTACAACAATTTTGGAGGGAAAAGTTTTTGATCCATTAGAGCCTCCCAAAACTCCATAAATTTGGAGAATCTTGCCTATTTCAACAGTGAGATTTCTGCCCACTGTCTGTGAGGTCGACATTAGGAAGCTCCAGCACCTCTTTCACCAAAGAAGAACTACTAAAAAAGGCTGTCAAAAACAAACGTCGGTCCACTATTCAAGACCAATCCAAAAAGCTGCATCCCTTCACCACTCCTTCTGACGAGCACACTGGACTTCTGTCGTTGACCAAAAAACTCACTCAGCTGCAGGATTCCTTCATCTGCGAACAAATTTCCAACTCTACAAGAACTGTGAGTGTATCTATCTGAACTTTAACAATAACATCTAATCGCTTAAAGAACTCTTTAGGCGCTCAGAGAAATATTTTGAGTAAGCCTTTTTTAAGTTAAGAACATTTTCTCTTTTCCCTTTCTTTCTCTACTAATTGTCCTTTTATCCCTTTACCTTTTTTTTTCTGTATATGTTGTAAATAAACACTTTCTTCTTTTGTTGTTACTCACCAAGCAGGAGTTTTTCTTTATTTGTACGTGCCTAAAAGAGAGAGTTTGTCCGCTCTAATCTTGATGTTTTACTTACGTTTTTTTGCAAATTTTTAAACCTCAACCCTATTTTTAAACACAACCCTTTGATGCGGGAAAGCTGGGACAAATTTCCTAGCAGATGGTCAAATGAGTCCTGTGAACCAATCAGAAATCAAGAGACAATTTTGAAATGAATTCCTTTCTCTCGCAAAAAGAATAAACTCAGAGATGACTAGGCAGGAAAAGCAGAGAGTTGAGATGACATGAACTGAAGAGTTAGCATTAAGTCTTAGCTACGCACGCTAATCTCTCAGTGCTTGTTGAACTCTCTGCCTTCAAGCAAAGAGGGACCCAGATGAGACTATGCCGAAGGGTAGAGTCTCATCTGGGTAGGTAGATAAACCTGACACCGTTATTACTGGGTCTATGGGGAAGTTTTGCCTGAGCATACGGACTCAGAAAAATCCACATTAAGCTAGCCTTGTGCCACTCCCACTTTGTGGGGAGCTCAGGTAAAATACCGAGAGTTGATGAAATGAATTTTGTCCATTCTCCCATGCCCTAAATTTTCAGACACCTAAAAATCCCACAGATAGTTGAAAGGATTACTACTATCAAGAGATGCATACATACCTACATGCACATTTACAAGGACTCTTTTCTCTTTTCTTTCTCTCTGGTAGAGTAATGGATAGTGGCTTGGATTGAGGAATCAGAGAGCTGAGTTCAAATTCCAGTCAAATCCATTACATTCACTTACATGCTAATACCCTTGGGAAAGGTATGAATCCTCTTCTACTCCCCCCCCCAACTATGGGTAAATAACAGGACAGACTGGGTTCTATAGCCTTGGATGGCAACTGGTCTACCGCAGAAAGAAATGACAACCTACTGCAGGAAAAAATCTGCCTCATCAGTCATGTATTGAAAGATACATGATCACCTATGTGTATTTCATGCATGACACATAACTGATTATATGCTAAAGGGTTTAGACATTTAACATGAGAACTTTCTATGAACTCTTTGAATGTTGTATATTTTATTTTAAGAGATATAAAATTTTATGAGTACATGCAATATCAATATATATCTTTGTATTAATTATCTTTGCATGCATTTTTAAAAGGCCTAAAATTATTGTATATTTGGATTAAGAGGGTTATCCAAAGCTAACCACCTGTAAACCCATAACCACTTTGGAAACACCCACATTGGTAAACTCCGACATACCTGACGTATATATAGACACATAAAAAAGTACAATGACCAAAAGTGAAGTAGAACCAGTATCTTCAAACCAAACCAGTTCCATACAGGCGATATCAACCAAATCACCTGCATTCATTGAATCTAACGTGCTAACCTGGTTTTCCATAATGGAAGTCCAATTTAACATCATGTGCACAAAGGAGATAAAACAAAAATTTTACCATATATTGGCTTCTCTACCTACAGATATTGTCAAGAAAATGCAACCAACAGTATTACAACAAACCAATTACTAGATACTGAAGAAAGTTGCCATTATCTCATATGAAAAATCAAAACTAAAAATGCTGGACAAATTGATGTCAACCTCAGTTATCACAGGTCATCTGTCCATATATTTAAGTGAACTGATTTCTCTAGCAAGTCAGATTGGTGTCAGGGATGATATAGTTCAACATAAATTACTGATTTTCAGCAATGTCTTTGAGGCCATAATCAATGCCAAAGTGGTTAAGCATCTTATTTCATATGATCTACTCTCTGACAAACAATATGGATTCTGTTTTGCCCAGTCTACCACTGACGTGCATACAGCCATAACTGAATATACATATCAAGCTCATGATAATAATGGAAAAGCTCGAGCTGTGGACCTAGATATCTTAAAGGCATTTGACAGGGTTTGGTATACTGGTCTTCTACGTAAGCTTCAGGGTTATTACTTGATTTAATCAGGAAATGAAGGTTGTCCTGATCAGTATTTCTTCCAATTCTTTTCATACTAACACAGGTGTTCCCCAAGGATCTATCCTGGGTCCTACACTGTTTTTGATCTTCAATGAACTCCCTGATGTCATCAGTTCCCAAATAGGCATCTATGAAGATGACACTACCATTTACTTTTGTCTCAATAATAAACATGGCAGTGCTGACAAAGTTAACCTGGTCGCTGCTCTTGGAAAAGACCTCTAATCAGTAGTTAACTGGGGCCGAAAATGGCTTGTAAATTTTAATGCCTCCCAAACTAAACTGCTCTCATTTAACTACCATAAAGAAATGTCTCTGTCTCGCTTCAGCATGGTTGATGCTTGTCTCCATGAGAGCATCTCACTGCACCTTCTTGGTCTCACATTTTCAACTAACTTGAAGTGGAACAACTAAACTGAATCAGTAGCTGCATCTATCACAAGGAAAGTTGGTTCACTGTGTCGTGCCAAAAGCTATTTCTCATCAGAGTCCATTTTACACATCTATAAATCTACCATTCGTCTTTGCATTGAATACTGTTGTCATATCTAGTCTGCCCCTGGTATTCATCTCAAGGTTTTCGACAAAATCCAAAGAAGGATCTGTAATGTAATCGGTCCTGAATTGGCTTCCCGACTTCAGACACTTTCTCACAGTCTTTTCTACAAATATTTTCATGGCTACTGCTCTGACGAGCTGTTGTCCCTGGTGCCCTATGTGAATTTAAGCATGATACTAGATTGGCATCTAGATTCCATCCATTCACTGTTGAAATAGTTAAATGTAACTGCCACTTCTACTGTAACAGTCTCTTTCCTTGTACTTCCCAACATTGGAACATCCTTCCTCTCACTTGTTTCCCTGATAACTGCAATCTTCAAAAATTTAAATGCAATGTCAATCGCCATCTTCTGTTGCCTTGATCCCTGTGCATTTTTTCTTTCCTCAATCCCCACTAAATCCACTCTTTTCTCTCACTTTCACTCTCTGTAACCCCCCTGCATGCTAGTGGCACTCCTGCTTTGCTGAAATGCTTTAAAAAATTTCATACAGGCACTACCAGCATCGATTAAATCAGTTTTAGTAGCTCAAATCAATCTTGATGTAAATTGATTGGGTAAAATGGCAGATGATCTTCTTCTTTATACAAGAGAGTATACAATACCT